AAGAGCCTGAGAAACCATCAAATCTAGACATTTAATTTCACCAGGGATGAAACTGAAGTATTAGTTAAGTGACTGGCCTAGTGTAACTACGTCTGTACTCAGTAAATATTTTTTGAATCATTGAATGGAAGACAGTTATTTCTGAAGAACTTAAAGGATCTTTAACAAAGAATAGTCTGTATCAATTTTTGAGGTCAGGAGTATTTTTGACTTGAACTGAAAGATTAGGAATGGCTTTGATGATAAATTATTACAATATTACTAACATCCTGACAGTTGGTCTTCCTTTAGTTGTTTGTTTTCACCCAAATGAGAAAACTCTCAGCAACAGCAGCAGTGCGGCCCCTGCCTTCCAGTGGGGTCTTCCACAGGCGCCAGAGGACTGCAAACAGGCAAAACAGGCGCTTGCTCCTCATCTAAAGGCACCAGTTCAGCGGAGAAGCTGTTGATCTCAACTGTTATACCTCAGCCATTGTCCGCAGTCTGGCACAGAATTAATCCCTTAAGAAAAGGATGGAAAAAATGCCATTCAGCACAACACAGCTTGTCATCACATGCATAATGCAGGCTTTCCAATTAGAATGCTGCAATTTGGAAACTTCCTTCACAGGCTGATGAGCGAGCAATTATTTTAAAGAAGGGAAAACTCAGTCCACTGGGTTTGCCTCGAGTCACTTCTGACTCAAGCCGCAAAGACAAGAGTTTTGAAAACATATTCGTTATTGAATTTTATATCAAAACACCGGCAAGGAGAGCAATTAGTTGCTGTAAACCGAACCCCTGGTAATCAATGGTATGTAGCCAGCCAGAGCATTTATAGAAGATGTAAGCAAAATCACATCTGCTAATCAATTTTGAAAAAACCAGCACTTTACTGCTTTTAGGGAAACTCCACAATGAGAATAGGGAGGATGGAGGAGACAACATTTAATAGCACCAGCCGTTTCATGCAGTGCTCATTAGTTAGAGAGGTTTGTGGCAACGCTAAACACAGACCCGATCTGCATCAGTGGATCTTGGCCGGCAGCTTCCTTTCTTCAGCCCCTTTTGAAAACGGCTTCTGGTGTGTGGGGGACGTCTGTGGATGGAAGTGTGCTGGCTACGTTTAAGGAGCTCATCTCAATTAAGGTCACAGGGAGTGTCTGTCCTGGGCAGGCTCACTGTGCAGATATTCCCAGCCAGATTACAAGTCAGAAATATCTCTGTGTTGCTGTAGGTGCAAAGACATAAGAACACACTTTGCAGGCAGGGAAAAAAGTGAAGGGAGTTGGTGGGTTTTTCAGTTGTGCCTTATCAGAACAAAATTCCTCTCCATGGGGGAAAAAAGAGATTGAGCCAATTGTTTTCTTCAGCCGAGCTTGGTTTTTTTTGTTTGTTTTGTTTTGTTTCAGTCAAATCAAGAAAGGGATTTTCATTCCTGGCTAAGCCTAAATTCCAAGCAAATATGCATCCTGGCACATAAATCAGAAGGTCTTTTAAAAACTCCGCAGCGTGGGTGAGTCTAGCCTTAGGCTTGATGACCTGAGATCCATCAGTGTCCCTTTTGCACTCAGGAGTCACAGTGACCCCACGTTTCCAGCCCCCAGGGACTCTTGATAGAGGAATAGAGAAGAGACGTCTCGGCCAGTATGTGCACTTGGCTGCTGTTCAGAAAAAAGAATTTAGGCCAGGAGAAATTACTGAGGTAAAGATCGATAGACTAAGCTAATAAAAATTAATAGCCTCAACATGCAAACTATGATAGGCAGTGGATTAATACTCTTTAGATAGAGAGGACATTTTGTAAGTCATTAACAAAAGGATAAATGTAAGTAGAAAATGGGTAAAAATGTTCAAGTTCAGTGATAAGTAAGAAACTGCAGGTTAATGAGATTTGTTTCATCTATCAAATTGGTAGTATTTTTAAACATAATACACCATATTGGTGATGATGTGCAGAAACAGGCATTTGTTATACACTGCTTGTAGCGTTAGTATAAATTGATACAGATTTTTGTTTAGGGTTGGGGTGAAAAGAGGTATACAGCTATTTTGTGATCCATATCAAAGCCTCATAATGTTTATGTACCTTGCTCCAGGAGTTTCACTTATAGAAACTTTCAAAGGCAATAATTATAGATTGAGCTAAGAATGTTCATCGCAGAATTTTTTTGTAACAGTCAAATGTTACCAACTACTTAAGTGTCCAATAATAAGAGACTGATTAAATAAATTACAAGACATCCATACAAATACTATGAAGTCAGTAACATGATGTAGAAGAATATTTGATGATACAAAAAGATATTCATAATAGACCATTAAGCAAACAAAGCAAATTACAAACAGTATGCACTGTGTGTATGTGTTTTAAAAGTTATAGGAATTGCTGGCCAGGTGCAGTGGCTCACGCCTGTAATCCTAGCACTCTGGGAGGCTGAGGCGGGTGGATCGCTCCGAGTCAGGAGTTCGAGACCAGCCTGAGCAAGAGTGAGACCCCCATCTCTACTAAAAATAGAAAGAAATTATCTGGACAACTAAAAAAATATATATGTAGAAAAAATTAGCCGGGCATGGTGGCGCATGCCTGTAGTCCCAGCTACTCAGGAGGCTGAGGCAGGAGGATCGCTTGAGCCCAGGAGTTTGAGGTTGCTGTGAGCTAGGCTGAAGCCACGGCACTCTAGCCCAGGCAACAGAGTGAGACTCTGTCTCAAAAAAAAAAAAAAAAAAAAGTTACAGGAATTGCAGATGGTCTTCATTTTAAAATAATAATTTGCCTTGAAACAAATTAGAGGCTTTCATAGAATAAGCTATATATAGGGTATGCTATATACAACTTCAAAAATTCTTCTGATATTCTGTCACTCCAAGTATCTCTACTAGAGCATTTATGATACTCATAATTGGTCTTCCATTTTTAAATTCTCCGTGTGCCATATCCTCAAGACAGTCTTTTCCCATGAAATATTTTGAGATCTGGTTAGGTTCTACCTCAAAGGGGATGGATTGTTTTCATTTGGATACTCCGTAGAAACACTAACTCATGATTATCTAGAAGGATAGCAGTTACAATAAACCTGGCTCTCCATAAATAATTCAAAATCCCATTGGAGAAAGTATCCTCAACACTATCTTCCAATAAACCTGTTACTAGAGCTGTTACATGAAGAGAATGATGAATTAATTTGAAGTTTTTCCCTAATTTTAATCTACTGTCACAGAATTATGAGTGATTTCAGCCCAGAATATGTATGGAACATGGACCATGAACAGAGCCCACATGTTGGAAATAGAATTTTTAAAAAGAGAAGGATCAAAAGTCTTTCTAAAAGGTTTATAATCAAAATGAGAGCCAAACATAGAAACAAAAAATACACTTTAAAGTTCCCCAAAATAAATATAAATTATTAATAGCGTAGGCTAACTCCATATTGCTGAGAGACTAGAATAATAGTTGTGGAGGTGACTAATGGTGGAAATGATTCACATTCTTATCAGGCAAATCAGTGTAACCTAAGAGCAGAATTTCTGGACACTTAAGAACAGTAAAGTGGACTCTGTTCTGATTCATTTAGCGCACTCTGAGAGATTAAATTCTCAGGTGAATTAAACGGAATCAGTAGGTGTCGTCTGTTGATGCTTCCCCAGACCTTTGAGCAGTTTCCTTTACTTAAATTATGAGTTCCAGAATATTAGGTGGTGTGGATTTAGTCAGTGATAGCAAATAGCATTACACCGAAAACAGGGAACAGAGGGTAAGGGGAGAGGGAAACCCAGGGACAGTCCAAATCCTCAGTAATAGCTTTATAGGGGACACTAACCTGAACTTGTGGGAAGGATTTTCATTGATTATAACTGCAAGATTAAAGGGAAATAATACAACTACTTTTATAGAGTGATAGGTTACAGACTGGAAATTATGACCCAGATACATCAGCTGGGAGTAAAGGGAACGTTTGGCAGCAGGATTTTAGAAATGGGCTTTCGGTCAGGATACCAGGTTGGAACCCTGTACCTACCGCTCAGTGTGTGAGTTTAAACAAGTTACTTAACAGCTTTAAGCCCTACTTTCACCATCCATAATTTGATAAGCATAATAGTGCTTGCTAAAGAATATTTAGGAGGATTTAATAAAATAAATTGTATATAGCATTTAACATAGGGCCTGATGCACAGTTAGCATTAAAGAAATGTTGCCTGTCACGATCACTGTTGTTCCTGTCGTTACAAGGAACGCATTTGTTCAGCAAACACTGGGTGTAAAGTTCCGTGTGCGACGTTATGTCAAGTACTGAGTACAGAAAGATCGGTGAGACGCAGGCACTGCCTGCAAGGAGCTCACTGTCTGTTCTAGCAGGCAGAGGAAGCAAACACACATGACCAACTAGAAAACCATAAGATGTATATTATGTAAGGGAAGGACTTTTAAGTCTGAAATCAGAAAGATCATTATCTATTTCCCCTGTGGCACTGTCGGAAGCAGAACACTGACCCTGTGTTGCAATGCTCAAATTCTTTTTTTTTAATCCTTATATTTTAAATTGAGGAATAACATAGTGCACAGATCTTTTATATATAGCTCAATGAATATTCACATGCAGATACACCTGTGTAACTACCACTCAATTGGAAAAATCAATTAGAGGGCACAGATTCCCCCATGAGCATGGTCAGCCCAGCCAGCCTGGAGAGGAGCTCTGAAAGAAGCAGGAAGGATGACTGGAGGCCATCTTCTCCCTCCTAAGCCAATCTAAAGAATTTTGCCACTAGGGGGACAGGCCGCTGGGGATCGGATGACTTGTAAAATAAACTCTTAAAGAGACAAGCCTCTCGCTGCAGACCGACTCCACCTGTTCTCCTCATACTTCTGTTGGGATTCACTTTCTTTTTCCAGTCCTGGAAGTGCGGTAGGACGAAGGATGCAGGTGGGAGGGATAGAGTGGACAGACTCCCCGGTGCCTGCAGACTGAGGAAACAGCCAGTTAGGACATTTACAATCGTACATCTTTCCCTTTGTTCAGGCTACTACTTTGGGACTGCGATGACCGGAGCTATAGCTACTACGTCGAGGTCTCTACCAACCAGCAGCAGTGGACCATGGTTGCCGACAGAACTAAAGTCTCCTGCAAGTAAGTCGCCTCCTTTCAGGAATTTGTTCTATTTGGAATCAGAGGTTCCAGTGAAGATTCATGGAATCACCAATTTTTTTTTTAGAGACAGAGTCTCGCTCTGTCGCCCAGGCTGGAGTGCAGTGGCGTGATCACAGCTCACTGCAGCCACGAATTTCCTGGGCTCCAGTGATCCTCCCGCCTCAGCCTCCTGAGGAGCTGGGACTACAGCAGGCACCACCACCACACCCAGCTAGTTTTTTGAAAAAATTTTTTTAGCGATGGGGTCTGCTGTGGCTCAGGCTAATCTTGAACTCCTGGCCTCAAGCGATCCTCCCACCTTGGCTTCCCAAAGTGCTGAGATTACAGGTGTGAGTCACCATGCCCAGCCTGAATCATGTCCTTATTTGGGGGTTGAAAACATATTTTAGTGATCCTTTACTTCAGTTTTAACTATTAAGTCCTTATGTGAGAATTTGCTTGATGTGACCAAACAAGGTTTCTCTATCTTGTGGCATGAACTTTACTCACACTTCTGAAAATGACATGTGTACCTAAACAGGGAAAAGAAAGATGTTTTCCTTATGCAGGCCTTTCTCGGATCCTCCTCCCACATCCCACACTATCCCTTTAGGATTTTGTTCTTCCTTAGAGAATTTTGCTGGAGTGATACGCACTTTTGTAGTTATTCTGGAGTTCTATTCTATACCCCACGCTTATTCTTAGGGACGGCTTTAACTGTTTCTCTCATCTTAGTGTTAGCCGTGCCGTTCCACAAACTAAGGAAAGCCTTGCGTCTTAGGCTCTCCACAGGCAAACAGAGGCATTGAATGCGGACAACACTGAGGCTCTGTTTGAGCTTGCCCGGCTGCGGGAGAAGCTAGGAGGGAGGATTCTGTGGTTCTGACCAGCTAGCATCATGGCGTGTGGTCGGAGCGCAGTGCTTTTTTTGTGTAGAGCCAGAATCTCTGAGAGGCGAGGTGGAGCAAGAAGCTATTTCTTTTTCTTTTTTAAATTGAGATATAATTCAGATATAAAATTGAGATATAAAATTAGATAGAATTCACCCTTGTAAAATGTACAATTGAATGGTTTTTAGTATATTCAAAGAGTTGTGCAATCCTCACTACTATCTAACATTTCAGAACATTTTCCTCACCCCAAAAAGAGACCTCCTCCTCATAAGCAGTCACGCCCCATTTGCCTTCAGCTCCCCCAGCTCCGGCAGCCAATTCCTGTCTTTATGGATTTGCGTTTTCTGGACATTTCCTATAAACAGAATCATATAGTATGTGACCTTTTTTTGTGGCTTCTTTCACGCAGCATAATGTTTTCAAGGTTCATCCACGTCGTGGCATGTGTTGGAATTTCATTTCTTTTCACGGCTGAATAATACTCCTTTGCATGCAAATGCCGCATTTTGCTTATCCATGCATCTGTTGGTAAACATTTGAATTGTTTCCACTCCTTGGCTATTACAAACAATGCTGCTGTGAACGTTCCTATACAAGTTTTTGTGTGGACATATATTTTCAATTCCTAAGAGTTGAATGGCCAGGTCATCTGATAACTCTATGCTTAACTTTTTGAGGAACTGCCAAACTTTTGAAAGCAGCTGCACCATTTTGCATTCCCACCAGCTCTGTATGAGGGTTCCAGTTTCTCCACATTCTCACCACCACTTGCTGTTGTCCATCGTTTTGATCATAGCCATCCTAGTGAGCGTGCAGTGGCATCTCAGGGTGGTTTTGATTTGCATTTCCCTAATGGCTAGTGATGTTGAGCATCTTTTCATGTGCTTATTTGACCAAATTCCTTAACAGCATTAATGATGCCTTGTTTGATGCAATGTCTGACACCATCACCACTATTATTATAGTAGTTATCAGATAGAATGTTTATATTGGTTAGGTTAATACTTGCTACTATAACAAATAAGCCTCAGTATTTCAGTGCTTAGCACAATAGTTTATTTCTCAGTCACGTAACAGTGTGGGTGTTCCTGGTTGTTTGGTGGCTCTTCCCCACAGGTGACTGAGGAACTCAGACAGTTTTCACCTTGTGTTTCTGCCATCACCTAGGCCCTCATCAGCTTTAGCTGCCTGTAGCTGGCAGAAGGGGAAAGAGTAGAGAGAAGGTTCTGAAAAGCCTTGGCCTAGGAGTAGTGTACGTCACATGCCACTCCCCAGTGGAGCATAAATCCTGTGGCCATCTCTGCCTCTTTTTCAAGGAGCAGAGCTGAGATCTAAACCCAGGGCTCTTGCCACTGTGCCACACTGCCTCCTAGACTCAAAGCATTATTGCTAAAGAGGGCTAAACCAAGCTAGGTGACGAAAAGAGGGAAATGAAGTGCTTAACTTATTTCCAATCTCCTGGAACCCTTTTTATACGATAACAAAGCCTCCAAGGCCCATGAATAGCCACCTTTTGTCTTTCCACAGTCTGTTTGTTGGGTCCACGACTCCCACACCAGCCCCTCTGCTTCCTCAAACGTTGTCATCTTGTCATCTTTTACATGTCATACTGGTTCTGCCACCCGTCTCTTCTGTCGTTTCATGTTATAAACTGAATTCGTCCTCCCGTCTGTTGAAGATGCTATACAATGAGAGTTTTCGACAAGAGCTGGTTGACTAACTATTGACCAGGTACATGTTATAATAATTTTGTATTGAGTTAAATGGTTTTTTTTCTTGTTTCAAAAACTCGTTCACTCATTAGATCCTCTCCCAGTAGCTTTGCATTAAGTTGTCAACATTTTTTTCTCTTTTTAATTATTTCTTTCCATCAGTTGGTGGATTTAAATAATTTATGTTTTTAACTTTGTATTTTAGCACTTAGATGCTATCGCAGTGTTTTACAAATTAATAAATAAATAATGCATTAGAAGAACAAGAGTACCAACAAGAAGGCAAGTACCTGTTAACCCTCTAAGAATTTTATGTCTATAGGCATAATCTGAATCTGTTGCACCTCCCATTTTCAAGTTACACCTTAAGAAATATAGAAGATATGCAAATGATAAAAGATTTTCCTTTTTAACTGAGCAGACCTCAAGGGAGGATTCCATTAGTGTCAAGAATTATAGCCTGCTCTTTGTTTTTGTTTTTTTTTTTCCAGTACCAATAAGTTTTTATTTATTCATTATATTTTCCCAGGGAAAGTAGAAAGGAAGGGAAAAGAGTCAGCATGTGTGCTACAAAATGATTAGAAAATGGGAAAGGAAGTACCCAATACAGCAAAATCAACCATCAAACATACCCCAGGATGGGGTCCACCAAAGCCCAAGGGGGCTCAGTCTCCTGCAGTTCAGGAAATAGCCTGCTCTTTGTTGAAATAAAATGTGAGTCACGTCATAAGTGAAATTACATGGAATCTTTAAAGATCGCAACTCTGCCTCTTGATAGCATTCTACCAAGTTGAGAAATCAGAGCACAGAATTTTGCTGTCCTCTGGCAAGTCCTGGGGAATGAGATTCTCCAGTGTCTCTGTTAGCTCTGCTCCTGGGTGGGACATTTTCTTGTATAGCTCTCCTCAGTCCTTTCTGCTATAGCTGGAGCTTCTCTTGGTTTGCTTTTAGGATAAAGGGTCATTTTCTCTTGTAAACAATCCTGTTTTCGTAGTGACTAATTTTTAAAAATTACTTCCTACCTGTCTTTCTTCACATAATCTAATTCTATACCCTTTAGCCTTATTTCAAAAGAGCTCACTTTCTAATACTCACTTTCTTTTCTCTGCTGTCCTCTAAATTGCTGAACTCTAAAACTGGTTTTTAAGATCAATTTTTTAATTATAAATGTAAAACATGCACATGAAAAACTAAACAGTATAGAAGAATATGTGTGAAAAGCAAAATTTTGCCTTCCCATCTTCTGTTCCATTCCTCAGAGATAACTACCTTTGACCCTTTTTTTTAGTTTTTGTAACTTCTCAACTATAAATAATATTTTATACATGTTTAATATTTTATACCTGTTCAATTTATCAACTTTACTAACTCCTTGCTATTAAAAAAAGAAATTTAACTCACTTAGCCACTCCTCATTTTTGTTAGTTATGTTTATTTTTAGTTCTACTATTTATCTTTTAAAATTAAACTATGTACTTAAACCTCTGTTTTTCATGAACATCAGTTATGGCCAGCACTTCTTGACTCTATGTTGATGAGAAAATTACCACCCCTACATTTCCCTGTATTTCTCCTCTTTCTACTTCCCATCTTCTATTAGTTGTTTTATTATATTGACATTGTAAATATAGTAAAACTGTACTGTATAAATATAATATTTATTTTTTGTTCTATACCTCATAGTTAAATCTTCCATGTGTTAACTATAAATTGACCCAGAAAAGGAAAAGCCACTAAGAACTCATTATAATATTATGATTATATAAACATTGTTCAAGACAGATCTAGTAATTGGCTGGATCTAGGGTAAAGAAAATACTGTTCTATGTCACTAAATTTGTGCCCCTCTTGGAAGAATTGTGCTATGTTCAGATCAAATAGATTACGTTTTCTTATAAGTATTCCACATGTTTAATAGCTTCATATCAGACAGCTTTTTGTTTTCTTAAAGTTCCTAATTGCTTCTTTTTCCTGTTAGAGAAGCTTCTGAAGCACCTCTCTATAGCTGTGGGCCTAAAATTTCTTCTTCTTTCCTATCTAGACTTGTAACACCATTTCTTTGATTTCTTTCTGTGGAATATGGGAAACGGGTCCTTTGCATGAGATACTGACTTTGGGCCCAGTTACCTTTCTAGATCTGGTCTTCTGAAAATCTGATAGAAATGAAATGTCAGCTGTGTTATTAAGCCACGTTGCTTGGGATAAAAATTACCCCTGACTGGCAAATTACATTTGGCCTGGGAGGACTGTAAATACCCATATTCCACAAAAAAGAAAAAGAAGTCAAAGAGACAATATTACTAACCTAGATAGGAAAGAGAAATATCCAGAGCTATAGCTTTGAGCCTCCCTAAGTGTAGTGACTTTTGTAACTGGGCTTATGCCTTGTGATTCT